CGCCCGGTTTGAGTTGGGGCTGCACTTGATTCTCACGATGACAATACCCGCACTGGTATCGGACAGGCGCCCGTGTGTCCACCCCAGCGCAGCACGGAGCTCGGCCGTCCCGGCGGTCCCTCCCGGCTCCCCCAGCGAAGGAGCCCCGCTGTGCCCCGACCCGGCACCGCGAGCCCAGAGCTCGCTCCACTCGTGCCGTGTGGCACTGCGAATCCGCTTCAAGGCGGATTCCTTGCATTCATAGCCGCCTCCTGCACGCGTCCGCGCGCCCTGCCGAGCTGCACGGGCAGAGGATGAGTTCGCGGCTGAGCTCCGAGCTGCCAACCCAGCGGCACGCAGGCACAGCTCGCCGCGGCGTGGCCGTGCTGCCCCCGTGTGACAGCGGCGGGAACGGAGCCCCGGGAGCCGCTGCCGTAGAGCCGCGCAACGACACCGTGCGCCCTGAGCAGGGCCACAGCCCAGCTGCTGCTCTGACTGGGGTACTGCTTGCATGGCGTGGACGTTTTTATTTTTTATTCCTGCTCAGGGAACGTATTTAATATCTGTGTTTTAAAATACACGTGTATTCTTGAGAGAAAGACTTTCTTTTACTGGCTCTCAGTTCCTGAGAAATAATTAGAACAAGTGGAGCCAAGGAAAACCTCACTAGAGAGTCATGACAGTAGGAGCAGCCCGGGCTGTGGTGACGTGAAGCTCCATCACCAGGCCCTGAGCAACAACAGCCCCACAGCAGCACCAGTAACACTGAAACCTCCACCCACCACCTCACAGCCAAAGGCACAGTTGTGTGAGCCAAGGGCAGGAGGCAGCTGCAGCCCCACCATGACACCAAAGCCAGCACCCATGCAGCTGAGGCACTTGGGGCAGGTGAGCAGCTTGACAGCAGTCAGTCCGTGTCACACCGCTATGGGCATCTGGAGGTCCCTTCCAACCCCTACAATTCTGTGATTCTGTGGTTTACCCACCCTGGACCTCCGCACACCATAGGCCCAGCAAACCCAGGTACCAGCAAACAGAGAATACACCTAGTTATGCAGCCCCAGATAAAAAGAAGGAAAGAATTGCTTCTTAGGGCCTTGGTTGCGCAGAGAAGCTGAGGATACCCCAACCCCAGAGATGTTCAAGGCCAAGCTGGGTAGGTCCTTGGACAACCTGGGCTGGTGGGCGGCAGCCCTGCCCAGGGTTCAAGTTGGTCGGGCTGTAAGGTCCTTTCCAACCCAAGCTATTCTATGACTCTACGACTACACCAACCTTTCCCAGCCTGCTCCCTCCCAGCCACACAAAGCAAACAGGCAGGGCAGCATTGTCATCAACTTACTTCAGTTGAAAGAAAAACCCAGAAGCTTCCCCTACTCACACTGCTTTGTGCCAACCAGAGCATGAAACAGGAGCATTTTCAGTCAAGTGAAGGCAGAGAAAACAGTCTCAAAACTGAGATCTGACTGTTGCTCACCTCGTGATGCAGTGGCAGCCAGCAGCTTTGCGCCCACAGGCACTGTGCTGTGGAATCAGCACTGCCACACAGGTGTGGCCCAGCTCACCGCCTGCACGGTGAGATTCACATGTGCTAGGCAAGAAAAAAAGTGTTCTTCCTCTTGGCTTAATGTGTGGGTTTGGGTTTTATATTATTAGTGCAAATGAGCAGAAAATTAAAAATGCATAAAAGTGTATTTCGGATTAGGAGATGTTAGCATATTGCTTACATCTCTAGTTAAAGGCTATATTTGCTTGCAGCACTGCTATTTTACTTAGCATCAAAAGTGCAGATAAAACCTGACTTACAGAGTTCTACGCTCATGGTCTGAGCTGTATGAGCTCAGCCAGCAGCCCAGGCAGGGATGGGCTGACTCGTGCCTTGGCAGTATGAGGCATGCCAGCACCCACCTGCTCCTACAGGGCTGTTCCCAGGGTTTGGGCAGTAAGCTGTGACGTTAAGCAGTGCACTGTTAGTGGCAGTAAGTTGCCACCAATTTCTGTAGTGGCCAGATGAAATAAGGGTGGCCCTGACAGCTAGGAAACACTATCAGTGTTAACAGCATTAGAGATTTTTGATGTCCAGTTTGGAGGAGCTATTTAGCTACCTAACTAAGGAGCTAATAGACTACTGAGTTGTAGCTCAGTAATGTTTACAGTTCATATTTTCTCTACCCAAGGTTTCATCCAACTGCAAGTCTAAAAAGCTTTTTGCCACTTTTTCCACCCCCCCAAGAGCTTACACCAGATAAAGCACTACTGAATTTTGAGTATTTATCAAGGCTTTTCCTTTTACTATGAGCACACCCTTGTGCCCAATGAAAACCTCATCATCCTGGCTCACTGTTGTGGCTGGGACAGTCAGCCCAAAAGCACCCAGTGGTTCTGCAACACAGCACGTTAAGGACACAGAGCCAACAAGGCACTTCTTGCCCAGGAGGCAGATAGCGTCTGATCAGAACAGGATTTTGGAGACAACCGCATGACATTTCATAATGGTTCTGTCCTTGGGCTGCCCAAGTATGCACTGTACATTGAAACCTGCATTGAAAAGAAGAGGGAAAATTGATCAGTTTGAGAGCTCAGTGGAACAAACCAGAAAAAACACCTCATGTCTGTTCAGCTGTTGACCTGCTGGGACAGGCACATGCTTCCCAAGTCCTCCATGCATGAGTTCAGCAGAGCTGACCTGCTATCAGTTCTATACCTAATTTTGCAGAAGCTTCTAAACTTAAGCAGCTCAGAGTAAGCTGGAATTGCCTTACTTATACAAAGTTAGGGAAGGAAGGAGCATGCTGTTCTCTGAAAGAAGTTGTGAAGGCTAAAGCAACACCTGGCATACTCACCTCCTCACTGCAGCGCTCCACAACTGCAGCACAGGATCATGAAGATGAGATTCCTGATGCTGAGTAAGTAAGCATTGAATAACAAACCTCACAGCAACACAGCCAAGTCAGTCTCAGGGATTGCTCAAATGCTGGTGCAGAGGAACAAGAACCTTACCACCTTAGAGAAAGGTGCAAGAAAATGTGAGTGACCTGCAAAAAAAGGTGAGGCTGCACAACTGTGCCTTTGAGAGCCTTGTAGGGGCTGTATGAAAGTGGTTGTCTCCTGCCACCTGGTGAAAGCAGCATTCTAACAGTGCTTTTGGAATCCCAACAGGAAACCCTTTGGGTTGTTTTCTTCCTACCTAGAAAACTGAACTGCTACAGTCATCCATTTCTACCTACTGTAAGCAATACAAGAATGTGCTTTGCAGGCTCAGTTGATTTAGGAGCACAAAATATCAGCATGCAAGCACTCGGCCTTGAGCTCAGAAGTGATCCTGATGTGAACTGAAATCTGCCATCCCACTGACAGCAGAAAACCTCACACTCTGCACCCCTCCATCTCCCACCCCTTCCCAGCAACAAACCCATCCAGGTAGGTGGGAGGCACTGGGCCATGGCAGCACTCCGCCTCACCGCCTTCCCAAGCCCAGCCTGGGTTGTACACAGGTTGTGCAGCCCTACTGCTCAGTATGCAGAGCTAGCAATGCCTGCAGGCAGTCACCATGCACTCACAAGGTACTGGGCAAGGAAGATAGCAACAGCCAGCCAGCACAATCCCAGCAGTCAAAATGTATAATTTAATGCTAGAAATCCACTTACTGCCCTTCCCCCCCCCCCCCCCCCCCATCCCCATTATATACCTGAATAAGAGTTTTCAGAAAACAAACTTTTATAGTGCATGATATATTTGCACGTTACAGCACAGATGCATTTTCCTATATGATTACTCCTAATTTCTCATGAAACCCTACACATTACTGCTTGTTTACCCTCTGCTGAGGCATTCCAGGTACCAGCACCATCAACACGTAACAGATGACATAACAGACCCTGAATTACTTCTATTAACAGGTAAAGAATGGGAGGGGAAAAAACCCCACAGAATAATCACTTACATCAAAGATGAAAAGGCCACTAAGTCTAGAGTTCAACATATAGTCCTGTTAAGAACACGTAGGTGGAAGAGGTGTGCCAGGATCTGGATTTCAGAGGCCTGTGGTGAGAAGATGCACGAATCCTTCCCAGCTCCTCCATTTCAACCTCCTCCCACCCAAGCAAAAAGAAAACAGTAAATGTGCATGGCAGGCAGCACAGTCAGCTTGTCAGGAACACAAGCAAATACGGGTGCGCAGGTTTTGAGATGATGGGCCAGGAAGAGGTTTACAATGCAAGCAAACTGAGGCTTAACTCTGTCACATCTCCTCTTACGGATATTGCAGTGAGAATAATGGAAAACCCAAGGTCCTTCTGGTAGAAGAGGCCACATAAATCCTTTACACCACAACTGTACAAGGTCTTAAAGAGAATCACATCCCACATCCATCCCACTGCAATCTTCCCCTCTTGAAAGAGCCAACTGCAGACTTGATTTCATTCCACTGTGTGTAAGCACAGGTCAGCTTAACATGCCTTGTAGGAAACTGTCATCCCTCAAATGTATTTGTGTTCTGCACTATAATTGTATTGCACAGCTTTACTTTGAAAAACTATTTGAAACAACACATGCAGTGCTGAACCATGAAAGTCATGGCTCAATTCAAAGAAACATGCTGGGAAGGTAATTATTTCAAATCCAACTTCAACCATTTTAGTTTGTACTACAGCATGCAATTATTGCATTATGTAATCACTTCTCCACCTGGGCTAGAATTAAGGAGATACGGGCTGCCTTAACACGAAGAGAAACAGAACAAAATACAGATACACAGGAGGCTCAGGCAGCTTTAGAACTGATTAAAAAAACCTACCTAGTACTGTGTTACAGCATGGCCCAGCTTCATATAGCTCAGTGTGGAGACTCCAGACAAAAAACACCATTCCTCCCAGCCCAGCCCTCCCTCTCACTCCAGGGATTGAGGCCCTAAAACTTCAGCAAGAAAAAAAACCATAGAATTCTACATATTAGCTGATTATAGTTTTGTTTGTTTCACATAACATAGGAAGACAACAGGAAATGACCTTTCAAATAGGCAAATATGTATTACAAGGATCACAGCATTTGTTTTATTGTTTGCACAATGGTAAGTTGCACATATGGACAAGGAGTACATACTTTGAATTGGCTTCACAAATTAATACATTACAAGTCCAGTGGTTTAACATTATTAAAAAGCAATAACAAAAGAATAAAAACATTGTGGTTTTGACTGCAGCCCAACGTATGTTTTAAAAAAGGTTAAGTCAGAACAAACTTTAAGCTTTGTTTTCCCAAACGTGAAAAACACACACTGGATTCCTAAGGGAGCGCTCGCAGAGATGCAATAACATACAAGTGTACAAAAGCCAGGAGCTCTGTGCTCAGTTTCTCTGAATTCTGCCAGATCAAGTGATAAACATCTGTCCAAAAGCAACCACCACAGACATCACTTCCAAAACATACTAAATGGTAATAACACTTCCATAACTGAAATAACTCGATGCTTGGGAAAAAAACCAAAACACCCTTATGCACTTTAACTGCTGTAGAAAAAAGGTGCTTTTGTGAAAACAGTGAATATTCATTTGATGCATCTTGTATACAGAAAGCAACACTCGAATCCAAAGTCCCATATTCACATTTCCACTCACACTAGGCAGTACGTACCTCTTTAAGATGCTTTCCAGATGTTTGTAGCACACACTGAATTGGAAATACAGCACAAGCAGCTATGATGTAATACACAAGATTTATACTCTACTGTTGCAGTAGTTTAACCTTCAAATTACATCATTTTTCTCAATTCTTCAGCAGCAACTTACTGTACTACAGCTCATATTGAAAGCAGATATACACCTGCTCTGGTGTTTGTGCTAATAGCACTGACTAGAAGCAGCTAGTGAATCAGCTCTGATTTGTAACAGTTAATTCCAATCATGGCTACAATGGTAAAATCCACCCCCCCTCCAGCTGCTAGGAAGAGCTCACGCAGGTTGACAGCTCTGCCTGCAAGCAGACCTTGTGGAACCCTGAAACCCCACAACGTCCTGCCGTGCAGCTGAAGAAAAATCAGTTTGGGAACATTACCTAGGAAATGTCTGAGTCAAGATCCCGGCTTCTTCTTTAAGAACTGGTTGAGAAGTGGCTAAAATAAACAACTTCACACACTGCATCCACTGAACACCGCATACAGAACTTCATGAGATAGTAAACGTTTTACCTCAGCTGGTCTTAAGCAACAAAACACAAGCAGCAATGACGACACAGCCTGGGACCCCCCGTTTGAAATCCATAGAACATCAAGATGTGGAACCACAGAGCAACGTGGACAAACAGAACACAAAGTAAAGGAGACCTGTCTGTGGGGAAAGGTTTGCACATCTGGTTTTATTTTATACATACACATACACACTGGTGTGTGCACTGTACTGTATATATTTACATCCATATACACAGAAACACCCTGAAGTAGATTTAAAGGCCATATCCAGGAACAGAAGATATGAACTCTAGTATTTGTACTAGAATATACTTTCTGTACAAAAAACAAATATGCATATATTCATATGGTATAAAGCTTATTAACAAAAAATATTCTGCTACTAACATTAGTTTAAATAGATGGTTTTACAAGAATCTTTAATAATGCAGTATAGAACATTTCTAAAACTAGGGCCAAAAATAAAAATACATAAACAGGTTTATATTCACAAGAAAATAGCTGTTCAGTATGATTCATTTTGTGTTTCAGACTAGGGAAAAGTAGCAACTTTTTTTTTATTTTTATTTTTTATAAATCTCACGGGATGCAATTTAATCAATGCATCAATCTAGAAAAATAGACTTCTCAGATGAACAAAGTTGATTCACTTCCACTTCCCTAAGAGAGGTGCCTATCTCTTCCCTCGCTTGTTTCCAGCTGGAGGTTTCTTCAGCTGAAGAAGTTGCCCTCCTGTCCCAAAGCCTGCAGATGCAGGATTAGACACCCCGAACGTCAAGCCAGCTGATGCTGTGATGCCAGGATTGCTGAAGTTAAACCCAGACGTAGTCGAGCTGCCAAAGCCTTATGAAGGAGGGAAAAGACATTTTAAAACATGGCTTATATCGGGATTGCAAATTTGTTTCTCCTTGGAGCTGTGAGCATCATACTTTATTACTATATTTATAGTACTGTATACCAATGTGGATCTACAGCAGTACGTCGTGTTGCTAACACGCGTGGACTTGTCAGCTATATCAGTTGGGATATTACGGCTCTAACACAGCCTACTTCAGTGATTATAAGCAACTCTAATCTTAGATCACAGCCTATTTATACAATACCACTATTCACATCAAAGTGGCAGCCACAAACCCCACTGAAACTGCACAGCAGTTGTAGCACCATAACCCCCAGCCCAGGCTCCCAGCACTGCGTATTGAGACACGTAACACATATAAAGCAGGGTGGGAAGGGAAGGCAGAGGTACAAGCAGACCACGAGCCTCATTTCACCTCACAGCAAGTTAATGGCAAAGCTGCATATGCAGCCCCCTGCCCTACTGACTAGGCTACCTTTCCCTGCCCTTGCAACATAAGTGGCACAGACCCTACATTAAGTAAGAGGTAGGAAAGGTTCAAAATCTCTGTCAAATTCCTGGTATCTAAAAAACACCCTTTATGACTTGAGTCAAACAGCAGCCTTGAAAACAAAGCTCTGGAAAACCGAATGAATAGGTGAGCAAGTTTTGCTGTTGCTCACATTGATGTAAAAAAGGAGGGAGGAGTTACAAAAAAATAATTCCACTCGGTTCAGCTACAAAGCAAGGTCAGCTGAAGAAAATCCATTCACCACTTTCAGCAACAGTAACGCTTCATCATTTTACTTTCTTTTTTGAAGTATAACCAACTTGGTAATACTCAAGAGAGAGAACTGGAGGATAAGTTTCCAACTACTGGTCAATAAGTAGAAGCCCATAACTCTTCCATTCTCTGAAGAAAGCAGATAATAAACAATCACACAACAAGTACGACAGGTGCAAGTGAAGATTTCAAGTAGTTTATACATGTTGCACAATGTACATAAATATTAGAAAAAACAAGACTGATTCACAAACAAGTTTGTTCTTAATAAGCACTACTTAATTTCACCAGTTCTCTGGCAGACAGTAAAAGCAATCCTTGATTGTATCAGTATCAACTGAATATCTTATCTTTAAAGCCAAGAAATTAAAACACAACTGGTTTTCTCAGCAGAATCTCAAGTTGCCCACATGAGCCTGATATCTTCCCTTCTCACACTCAGCTCTTGCTCTAATGCTTCAGTTACGTTTCAAAGTCTAAGGTGGAATTCTCCTACCTGTAACGTCTGGATCTGGGTCAGACAATCACACTACAGTGACTCATCTTGTCAAGGGGAAAACCAAGCCATTATGGTAACTGCAGTTCTTCAGCATACACTTGCCTGTGCACAACTCACTGTAATAAGTACGTGCATCTCAAGTGTATCTAGTGATATTGTTCGTTTGGCTTTCACCTAAGCCTTCTGGACTGATTTGTCTCTCATCCTAGATTGTAAAGGGTGAAGCAGATGTCACTGTCCTCTCATTTTCCTGTTAACTCTGAATACTAGGTAAGGTTTCGAAAGAAGAAACTGGTTTTTCATCTGGAAGTGCCATGAATGAAAAAAATCTTTAATAACATAAGCTGTTCTTCGTAAGTTAAATTTTTACTTCAAGTACAGAGCTGAGATAGCACGTAAGTATTGGTTTCTACAGAACACACAACACAAACAATTCACAGTAAAGTTGTATGTGATCCACAGTGCCAGGGGTGAAGTGCATGTGAACCACCTCCATGCAGCTGCTTCTGGATGCAGGGAACACAGCCTGAACTTTGAGTAATGTTAGAGAAAGAAAGATGCACCAGCTGTGTGTGACAGGCAACTGAGAGGATGTTTGTTAATTTACCTGTGACCCAGGATGCAACAGCTGTACAACTGCTATTTAGGACGGCCACAGAAGTGTAGAAAGGTCAAAGGGAAATTAATCTAAAAGGCGTTGTCCTACTAATTTTTTTAAGAGGAAAAAAAAAAAAAAAGAACCCTTACACAAAACATTCAAATGAAAATCTTGAGGTATCTTTAGAAATCAACTTCCAACAAGACCCACATTCAGTTTTAGAGGGACGAGCTGCACACAGTCTTGAATCACAGCTACAACATGATCAATTTCTGGCTTGAAATTAACATTACTTATGTATCAACAATTCCTTTCAGGAAGTAAGCGACCACCTGTCCTTTGGAGGCACAAACTTAGCATCAACCTTAAGGACCTTAGAGTACACTTCACTCATTGGGCATTTGCACCTCTGCTTCATAGCCATTGGAAAAGACCTTCAAGACTATCAAGCTCAACCATCCACCTGGCCTACTAAGCCCCATCACACACACTCAAGCAACTCAAACTTCAGGCAAACCCTTCAGAGAGGTAAAGCCAAACAAAAGATATAAGCTTTCTCATAACAGGTTGTGGTAGTTTGCTGTTCTTGTTTCAATGCCACAGGGATAACCAGCAGTTCAGCAGGCCTCAAAAGCAATCTCCTCCTCCCTCCATATTACAATAGGACACTAATTCAAAACGGATTTCCAGCACAGCTCTGGCTGATTTACAAAGGCCTCTGTTACTTGCTCATTGCTACTACATATTGATTACACACAGGTCCATTTTCCAACAGCAGAAGCATGTCCTTCCATGATCCCATTCAATTGTCTCTTGTATCATCATTGGCACTGCTATTCTTCAATAAAAACAGTTCTCTATTACAAATTCCCAACTCAGATTTCAGTAGTATCTCTGCTTTCACACACTCTCCCCCCCACAATATTATCTCTGAAAAATTCAGTGGTGATTTTTCTCCTTCTGTCATCATTTCGGGAGTCAGTGTTCTTAATATTCCACCTAAATCAGTCTTTTTGGTTGCCATTAAATAAATAAGGAGCTAGGAATTAAGATGGACTGTTCACTAGGAGTAGGCTCTTCACAATGGAAGGAAGCTCTGCCTGCATTTCAGAGAAACATTTGTTTTACCGCACAACTGTGCACACTAAAGGAGTCTGTAGAATGCCTTGGGTTGAAAGGGTCCTTAGAGAACATCCAGTTCCAACCCTGCCATGGACGGGGTTCCACCCACCAGCTCAGGCTGTCCAGGGCCCATCCAACCTGGTCTCGAGTGCCTCCAGGAATGGGGAATCCACAGCTCCTCTGGGCAGCCTGTGCCTCTCCACCCTCCGAATAAAAAACATTTCCCCAACATCTAATCCAAAGCTACCCTCTTTTTGTTTTAAACCATTCTCCCTCGTCATATCACTATCTACCTGTGTAAGGAAAAGTCAGTCTCCTTCCCTGTCATAAGCTCCCTTCAAGTAGTGGAAAGCTGTAATGAGGTCTCCCTGGAGCTTTGTCTTCCCCAGGCTGAACAAGCCCCACTCCCTTAATCTTTCTCCATAGAAGTGCTAAAGCTCTCTGATCGTCTTCGTGGCCTCTTCTGGACCCACTCCAGCAGCTCTGCATCTTTCTTGTGCTGGGCCTGGACACAGTACTGAAGGTGATGCCTCATGAAGAGTGAGTAGAAAGGGACAACCCCCTCCTTCTCCCTGCTGGCCACCCCTCTTTTGATACAGCCCAGAATACCTTTTGGGCCAGAAGCACACGCTGCTGGCTTACGTCCAGCCTTTTGTGCACCAGAATCCCCAAGACTTTCTCTGCAGGGCTGCTCTCTGAGTTCTTCCTCCCAGTCCGTACAGATGCCTGAGACTGCCTCGACCCCATTGCCACACCTTGCACTTGGCCTTGTTGAATCTCATCGGGTGACACGGGACCATTTTTCAAATTTGCCCAGGTCCCTCTGGATGGCATCCCTTCCTTCTATTGTATCAACTGCACCGCTCAGCTTGGGATCATCAGCAAACTTGCTGAGAGCACAGCCCCACTCCTGAGAGATTGACATCGAATTGAAAAAAAAAACTAGTTGACTGCCTTCCACCTACTGACACACTGCATAAAGAGACTGCTCCTGGACTGAGCTCAGGCTGCTATGAAAAGTTGCTTAAGTACTTTCATAGCACAAAATTCTCTTCAGAAACACAAACTGAAACTGAGAAAAACAGTAAATACTACTAGAAAAAAAGCCACCGAAGTTTTGTAACAAATGTACGTAACTCAAACACTCAACAGGAACACTTTGAGGACCTCTAATCTTCATTCTAAACTCAGAACAAACTGATGGAAAGAGGAGAGTTGAGGCATTACCTAAGCAACCCAAGATAGGATGGCAGAACACTTATAAATGGGCAAAACACCAACCAAAATGCTCACATCTAAACAAAAGCAGTCACATCAGTATAACCACACATGCCACCTCCACCCATCTCTCAACTGCTGAAAAGAGAAATTCAGAAAAAACATAAAACTATCTTATGGTGAGTAATAAAATATTCCTGTTTCAGGATTCTGGAAGCGTTACTTAGGAAATAGGACATATAAGCTAAAAAAAAAAAAAAATTACTAGCCTTACACATAATTTATACACACACAAAGTATTTAAGAGTTTATGCAATCCAGAAGCTATAGATCAGAGTTTTGGACATAAAAGGTAAAAGTTAACATGCTTCAGGATAACCAAAATGTCACAGAATTTTCTACTCCATGATGCCAGCCTAGATGAGGATCTTCATGAAGACTATTTTAGAAAGTAGGAAATAATTACATTTAATCCTTAATGTTTCTGGTTACCACCTTCTGTATCTGTGACTCTTGAGATAGCTGAAAACAATTATAATCTTATTGTGTCCAACTCATTCACGCTGCTAAAAAGAGGCTGCAGTGTTATTTGAAAACGTTATTATGAACAGAAATGTCATCAGTGCAAGTTTTGACTTACTTGATATTAAAAAGATTAAATAAAAAAAAGAAGGCTGATGCTTTGCATGCTACAAAGCCAGATGTTCTACCAGAAATGCAGTAGGCAGTTACACCTTCATTCTGCTATACAGCCAGATTAGTGAACCATCCCCACCTTATAACACAAAGCTTAAGGTATTTCAGAGGCCTATTTTATAGAATGATCCAATGTTAACCAAGAAAGTAAAAATTCATGGGAACTGAAGATGCTGGTCCACGCTGACCTACTGGACAGTTACTAACAAATAGCAGTCATTTATTGTGGTTATAATAATAGCAGTTAAAACTTCTTTTTTAAAAAGCAATCATCATGCCACTAAAATCTGATTCCTGGAGACATGATGCTCCTTCAGTCTGTCACTGAAGAAAGGCTGATAAGCTACATAATTCAAAAACAAGCTCTAATTTAAGTAGTAAATAGAGATGCAAGTTATAGGAGTCCCTGTAAGACTTCAGCTATCTGAATTAAGGAGAAACTACATCCATATTTTCATCTTCTCACCATCATCCAGGTAGAACAAAGTAGTGAGATGATGCTGACAAGATTAGCTCAATTGTCAGAGAAGTAATTTCATTTCATAATAATGAACACATGAATTATAGGCATACAGAAAGATACCTATAATTTGCTCTTCAGCATATACAGGATAAGAAAAAACATCTGTAAAATGTTTATTTTTAAATACAGGAAGTGGAATTACTGGTATACTTGTCACTAATTTATGCATTAATTTCAATAGCTCAGCAACAGTATGGCCTATGCATTCAGGCAGTAACTGCACTTCTGTGCCTCAGATTGCATCTGATTCAATGTGATGCATGTTCCCCTCCTTTAGTTTTGACAGACATCATTAAAGAAAAAAAAACCACACTCAAAACTTGAATTAAATAAACCAACCAACCTGCACTTAGACTTCCTGATGGTTTACTTGTTGCTCCAAACCCAAATGACGATGCTCCTGTGGCACTGCTTCCAAAGGCAGAGCTACTTCCAAATCCTAGCAGAACAGTAAAGACACACAACAAAAAAATTATAGGCACAGCAATTAAGGACATACAGGTTTTGGGCAAGTATTCTAAAAACAAACTGTTCTAAGCATTATTTGGTAAAGATATATTTCCAAGGCCACCACCATAGGTGGCGTTCTCAACATAGCATTGATTTCTGTAAGAAATCAGTGTGAACAGGAAAGCCTTGGAGAAAATTATTTCCTTCAAAATACAAAACTGAATAAAACAAGCTATAAATGATTACAAGTGAAGTATCCGAGTTCACCAAATTGCTAATGAATTGCTGTTAAATCAGCAAGAAAACAACATAACAAACAAGCCAAAACTAGGAAAATTCAGACAAGTTATATGACTTGTATTACAGAAAGCTGTAATCTTCATCCACAACTCCAAAAGAAAAATTCCCTGGGCTTAGAACAGAGCAGACTTCTCCTTGAGTTAGTTGGCTCACTTCAGGGCTTATTTCATCCACCCCTACTCTAAGCAGAATGGTGATAAGCTTTATATAACAAAGTAAATTAGAATCTAGAATAGAAACAATTTCATACTTTTTAATGGAAAAATCATCAAAAAAAGGGCAGCCGTGAATGTTTAACTGTATATTCATTTTGCAATTCCTAATTATGATCTCAATGAATACATTTCAGAATTTCAAACTCTGTTATGAGCATGAAGTACCTTCAAGATAAAAGGAAAAGCAAGCTGGTATGTGCAGTTTGAGATTAAGGACAGATCAACAGAAGAGAAATATATTCTGTATTTGTTGTTGTCCCAAGAGACTGTGAGAATGAGCACAGTATATTCAAGGAAACGAAGCCCCTGCGTCAAGTGCGACGCGTTATGTGATGTACTTCACTGAATGGAGTCTTTACCTCCTTTAGCAAAACAATCTTTACCTTTTAAAACTAGTAATGATTGGATACTATCTAAGGCTGTGTTCCATAGTCTTCTGTCGTTTTTAAACCAAGTGCAGCTTTAATTTAATACAACAGGAAATATCATTTGAACACAGGATATTTTGTTTTGAATGATGCACCTTTTCCTCCTTTCTAGCTGGCAATGAATTACCAACAGTCAGGTCTCTATCAGCAAGTATTTCATGAAGCATTGGGTCAATATGCTGCTTATCTAACATACTGAAGAGCTAAAGTCTGGATGCTTATAATCCACCAATTCATAAATATTTATGTTTCCCAGCTAAAATGCAGTTTCACGAATGTTAAAAATGCTACTAAGTAAGAATTCCAAACGTCTGGAATATTCACTCTGCTCACTGCCTTCCAAGAGCATTGCTGCAGGCCAGTTAATAATAAGAATAAAGCATTCCTTTATCCTTCTACAGTTGCTTCTGTGAGACAGCTTTCTTGATTTGCCAAAAGACCAAATCTTTACAAATTAATACAGAATAGATGAAACAAGCAACTGCATACTGGCTTATGAGAAAGGGGCAGTAGGCCTCTAATGCTAAATTAAAAGCAGATGTCCACCAATTTAAAATAGAATGCTCCTTATGTTGGTAAGACTGATAAGCACAAACAATCTTTAGACTATAATTGCTTTGGTTGAAAAGTTGTGCGGCTTTAAAGCATCTAAAACACTGCAGGAATAACAATAATCCACAGTTATTCTTCATTCAGCCCACCATTGTTATTTCTCCTGTTTGTTGTTGTTTTATAGACTTATCTGAGGTAAAATCTGATGTGAAAACCTACCAGTAGACTTAAAGATAATTTCAAGATCATCATTTAAGGTAAAGTTGACATAATCTTCAAGTATTATCTATCATAACAGTTAAGTGTTTCCAATAGCCAGTGATTTTATTATTTTTAAGTGTTACAGTAGCAGTCATCGCACTTTGAGAAGATTCAGATGCAGGGATACAGAATGCAACTGCAGAAAGGATCTAATAAGAAAAACCACAACATACCATTTGTGATCGTATATATTGTCTTTGTAGATCTTACACAAAAGCTTCAATAAACACTGCTGCCTTTTGATGTGTAGTGTAGGAACTCCTGACTGATATAGATAGGAACATTTGTATGCAAATATATTTCTAGTTGTAATGCATTTTCAGCAGAACTACATCAGAGGAAAAGGTCTATAAACATATTGAAGTTTTCTTTCAGGTGTCTCTTACTAGCACTATTAATCAACATTATGAAAGTATTTTATCCCCTCACTTTCACATGTTGCTTTGCCTTACAGGTTGAAAAAGACTTTTCCCTACCTTACCACTAATGAACAGAGTGACAGCTAGAGCAAACATTTCACCCAGCACGACCCCAGAACTGTATTGTTGTCTAGCAATGTCATATCTTACTCCAATAAGAAACTGGCCCCCACAGCTACGAGCTGTACACAACAGGTGAAACATCTCTATATATTATAGTATTCCCACGCGCTAACTTTCAAATACTCAAATTAGTGCAAAGTGTAGTTACAGAAGAATGGTCTTGATTCACTTTCCTACAGCTCATGAAATGGCTTGGGTTGGAAGGGACCTCAAAGATCAAGTTCCAACCCCCTGTCAAGGGCAGTTGCCAACCAAGTTCCGTGGAGAACTTCAACCTGGGTTTTTACTACAGTATTGCATTAGCCATAGCTAACACTTTCTGTAAGGCACGAAGAAGTTTGTGAAGTGCAGACTGCTGACTGTAAAGGTCTTGCCCCAAAACAGATCATCCTCTTGGTGAAGTTTCAGGTTTACAAGAGATTCAGATGTGCGATATCATAGTTCAATGAAATATTAGAAAAATTAAAGTGTACCTCCAAGGCTTGAAGAACCTAAGCCACTTGATTGCAAGCCAGTGCCAATACCTGAGCCGAATGGCGTTCCAAAACTAACTCCCAGAGATGGTTGTGGCCCTGGTATAAAAAAAATGAGAACAAACTTGCCTTACTCTTTCATAATAAAGAGGTCCTTCATTTATAAGTACTTGACCATGTGAACATCATCATTGCTTTCATCAAATTCCATTAAGACTCTAAACTTTACCTTGCCTCACTTAACTATCTGCCTTTATGTCCACCTGACAAAGATCTAGGAAAACCCTGACTGTAATGAGGTCAAACTTGCCCCAGACTAGTAGCACGACAGCAACAACATTTACCACTTCAAAAAGTTTCACCTTGAACTTTCATAATTGAATCACTAATCAAGATCCTGATAGAACTACAGGTAACTTACTGCCTCTTGTATTAATGGAACTGAAAAAGTGGTAACCTTTAAACCAAGAACAAAAGAACTGACACTATTCTATCAATTTAATAAATAGGAATCTTCAAAATTACTCAAGTATTCCATCCAAATTTAAAGAGAACACTAAGATAAAAAACAAGACAATGACTTTATTTTATTAAATTTATTGTTCATTTTTTAAGCAAGTCAATTACACAGTAACATGACAATTCGATTTTTTTTTTCCACACAAGTGATAACTGAGTTCTGTTAAGCTCTGCTACATTACACCATTCAGTAAGGTAAACTAGTCAAACCACCTGTTTTGATAAACATTTACAAAAGGCACGATTTTGTGTACCTTAAAGAATTAGATACATTCAAGATTTCAGAGTCAGAGTTTGTCCCATAACTAAAAAAAGTTGACAGTGGTTTCCCTGCACATTTGCACTGAGGTGCAGGACTGTTAAAAACCATTTTCAGTCTGCCAAGATAAAATTTACAGCCTCAGTTCATTTTATTTTTCTTTTTTTTTTTTAAACCATTGGGAATAAAGGATCAACTTGCTAGCCCATTACTAACACATTTTAAAATAATTAATTCTGATAAATTAATATATTCTAACAGTTTTCACAGTACAATTTTATATTCCTGTCTTTTTCAAGCAGTTTTCAGTGCACTAGTCAGTTTCATCACAAAAAAAAAAATACAGTGCCAAACTCTTAATCCATAGGCATTTGCACCTTTCCTCAAGGCAACTTCCTTTGTCTTTGAACATGCTTTATTCACTGTGTCTGGGAGAGTCATGATTTATTCAAATGCTACTTTAAGGATCCAACAATTAAGTCTTTTTCCTTACCAGCTACTACAGTTTGGGTTTAATTCCAAACGTGCTCCTTAATACCACAATACTTTACGTACCTAATATTTACCTAGAGTTCTAAATTGTGAGTAGTTCAAGCTTTAGAAATCATTTCAGTTTTTGAAGCTTTCAATGGAAAAATCACTTTGAATCAAGTGAAAGGCACTGTATATTAAAAGAAACATTTCTGCAAGGAGCACAACTCTTACGTGATCCAAGCTGAATGACATCTGCATACTCACAAGTAGTGTTGAAGTAAATTTTAAGAGCAACTAAAAGTCGTTAGGTTTCTGTCTCCGCCTGGCAGGGAACACTTGGAAAACTCACACTAATCTTTCAGCTGAAGTATACTAGATGCTTTAACTACTATTTTTCACAAATTGCAAACTAGACTTGTTCACATCCAGTTTAAGTTCTGATACATCTATCTAGCAGCTCTTAAAAAATAACAGTTTTCATCAATAAAAAGAGACCCTAAACAAGCCAGTCATCTAATAAACTAAAAAGAATCCCAAAACACATATCCAGTTCTTTCAGAGTGCACAGGTTTTCTATCTCAGTAGGAGGCACTGTTAGTGGAAGACCTTAAAACAAAACACTACAGTCTTCCAGGCAAGGTTTTTAATTCCCCCTCCAAATGCAATATGCTTTTAAGAGCCAGTAAAAAACATATAAAACAGGATCACATCTCTTAGGCTAACAAGCTTTTCACTGAGCAACAGTATTTGATATTTGCTGATTTGTACCATAATTTGTGCTGAAGGCATCATCACTACTTAAAGTTACCGTAAGTAAACAATTTTCAATAGCAAAAAAAAAAGCCAGTAATAAAAGATTCCTCAATGCCAGAAGTACTAGCAAAAATTAGCACTTCTGGTTACTATAGGTACGAGACAAATTCTTTAAAACACGTAATTTAACACTCCTCTAACTTGCCATATTTGCCCTGTAGAGCATTTCAGTTTCGTTAATTGGACCCACAACTGAGAGTCCAGACAGGTCAGCAAAATTTACCAAAGTGACATTCTTCAACTTTTATCACAGCTGGTCCTAACAATGAACAAATTCAGTGTCACAACTCGGATCTGATTCTGACAAAGTAATACATTGACTAGTTTTAACCAAGGTTAGTACCAAATTACACAGTAAAAAAAATTAAGTGCTATGAAGATTTGAGTATCATTTTCTATCAACTCTTTCAAGTCAAAACACAAGTAAGTATGCTACGAGCTTGATTACACATTGACCAACTCTGCACTTCACCAGTCAAGGAGAGAGTAACTAAGTTCTTGGGGAGGGGAGTTGTTTGTTTTTTTTCTTGAAAGCAGAGGGAAGGTGAACTTGAAAAGCATTGAGACAACTTGGTCTTGCCAGAAAAACATCAGTTTCAGTCTCATGGATTCACAGCTGTTAGCTCACTAGGCAGTTGCTTCCATTAATGTCTTTCATTTTAGACTCATCAATAGTAAGCAGTAAACTAGCCACCATCATTTTAACTTCCATGCTGTTAAAAACTGCTCAGGGAAGATGCAAAGGAGGCTATGATTAGAACTGTAGCTACTACTGCACAAAAGCATAACCAGCCCCACTGCTATCAGTAAAGATGTGCTCCGAGTAAAAGTGCTAAACCAGGGAGAAAAGCTGCATGCAGACAAGATAAACATAATTTTATTAACTCTAGCTTCAATAGAACAGCACGAGAATTGTGCTTTACTGTGCACATCACAATCCTGGGATCGTGATTACCTACCCCAGGAGATCAGCGCAGTGCATCTTTGCAAGCTTACTTCCATATGGCCAGGATCTACTGGCTTTGTTTCAATAGAAGTCAGACATGCCTTGGCACACAGAAAACAGATGTGATGCATATCAACATCCAGGAACTGGGGAAACAGCCCCCTGATCCCATATATTCAAGTCTAGATGTAGCTACTAAACTTTTGACTTGAACACAAATTTCAAATATATTACCTTTTTCAGAGGAAGGACAGTAACTCCAACTCAACCTTACAAAATAGACTTAACCATGTAAACATCAAATACTTTTTAAGAAGAGTCTAACCTTCCTGATCCCCCAATATTACAGTACCACACATTACACTTTAAGTAAAAAACAAAACTTTCAAGTCCAGATTAATTGTCTTGTTTTATTTTTATCTTAAAAACAGCAACAGCAGGTCAGGTATTACACAGACCATCCCTCTTCTCCATTCCATACACCTTACTTCTCTCATCACTTTCTATTATCATCCCTATATCCGACTCTAAAAGATCTAAATCTTCCACAGGAATATGCATGATTAACTTCCAGTGGATAGATCATCAAATTTATAACAACACAAAGTTAAATCAAGCAAGCATTTGCAGTTTTACTGCAGGAAATGGCACTGAATGTTTTTCCTCAAGGAAGGAAAAGGAAAGAAAGAAAGAAGCAATCTTCAAATATTTAAAGATTCTTGCAAAACTGAAATAATAGACTCTTCTCCACTCAGAAGAACAAAAGTGGTGGTCTTAAGTTGATGCTAAAAAGTTTCAGGTAAGGTGTTGAGAACAAATCAAGAACTATCATCAGTAGTTTAGGGAGATTATGAAGTGTTCCTTCAAGCAAGTTTCTAAGACGTGAAGATCATTCTGGAACAGATCAGACTTGCTGTCAAGCCAGAGGGTAAGTAAGATGCCCTCACATTCCATCTAACTATTTTTTTAATGATATTTTAAGTGCTCCGGAAGTGCCACTCAAAACATCACTCTACCTCAAGTTCTCCAGTTTATCAAACAAATTTCAAGGAGGGCAACGGTATTTCAGTTTAAAAAGCAGCAGACTTAAGTTCTTGTCTACTTTTGTTGGTATGTGCAAGATAAGTTTTGATGGCTTTGCTCTGTCAGCACCACTTTTTGCAGCTGGTGCATTTTTGGCTTTTGATACACTGTCAAAATAAAAAGCCAAGCAAACAAACAAACCAAAAAAAAGGAAATAAACCACCACCAAACCAACCTAATAAAAAAAAACAAAACAAAACAAGAACAACCAAAAACCCACACAAACGTTGTGCCCTTTGGCTCCTCGCACTACAAAGGAGTGTTACAAAAAAGCTCTGAGGTATGAAGTCACCTTACCTCACACCTGTTGATAAATATCAAGTCCACATTTTGTTCACTCCTACTCCTAAGGGAATATTCATGTCTTGCCATCAGTGGCAAATTACTGAAGTTATTATCAGTTATCTCAAAACAGGACCAAGAAAAGGACATTTGAATCCCTTTGCCACAATTCATGAAAACGTTAAGTAGAAACTTAAATTCAACATCTCAATAGTGTGACTTGCACACACAAACCTATAGTGATCACAGACAGTATTAAAAAAAAGACACAAGGAGAAGGATGAAAGGAAAAGGAACTATTTTGGTAACGTTAATATGGATGGTAGTGTGGAAGCCTAAAAAAAAACTACCAGTGCAACTACAATTCGTAATGTTTTTGTATAAAAGCAGAATCTTCTGTTGGCATCACTTCAACAGGACTTCCATGAATCAAGATAGCAGCAAAACAAGGAAGAACAAAGACTAAAGGGGGCCAATAGAAATTTAGAATATAAACATTTCATAACTTCCTTTTCTGTTGCATTCAAACAATTTTGGCATAATTGTCTTTTAAGCTCATCTCCTTGCCAGGACTGGAAGCACGTTCTAGTTCTCTTCTATGGAGAGGACAAGGACTGCCTACAAATCAAACTCCTAGAGTGATTGTTAAGCAAGTCTTTCATCAATCTTTCAAAGTTTGATCACCACTAGAAGACAAGGGAGGGAGAAAAGTTGCTAATTTGGCTTCCAGTACTAAGAGGCAAACATCTTAGAAAAGCATTAGAATGCAGCTAACTGAACTTCTCATAATTTGCCAATGCATGTTCAAGTAAAATTAAATGAAAGGCTATTATTTCTGACAAATAATTATACACCAATTAACTTCTCTATGTTCAAGAATCCCTCTCTGAGAAGCATTGGTTAGGATGTCAATTAAGGTGCCAAAAGTTACTTCTTTTGCTGTACACATTAATTTTTTTATTGGCAGTGGATCAGGTATTTCTTCTGCTTTAATTTCCTCCTACGTATACATGCATTACAGAGAATCACCAATCCACTTTATTTTCTCTACTAATATTCACAACAACAGAACAGCCTGCAAAAACTACCCCAGCATCACCCTGGGTTGGCTATAAAATAAGTCGGACACCCACACTCCTATCCCTACAGATTTTTGTTCAACTATCCTTCCTGTTCTATAGCATTTTTCATTTTACAGTTCCAAAGTGCTATATAAAAATGCATTATTTTACACACAAAAAGGGTGATGTGTCTTTAGATATTCTCTCCTTACTGATTCTTAAATAATTCACTATAACCACATAGTTCTGCAAAGAGGCTACGCTAAACGTATTCAGAGATGTTACCAAAGAGTAAAGACTCACATTCCAAGGGGGTAAATTAGAACAATACAGTAAATATCACTAATACAAATAAATCCACAAGTATCTGTTGTATAATTATTGCTAAGTCTACCCTGCTTTTTCTATTGGCTATGCATCAGTAACTTTACTCATCACAACGTTTAGAGTTTTAGTCTAACACAAAGGAAGACTGCATAGAAAATGTTACACAAATTGACTACTGTTTTAACACTAATAATCTATAACTTGAATGCACTCAGACCTGTAGCAGGCTGTTGCTGCTGAGTAAGTGTGGCAGCCATGGCAACGGCTGCTGCATTTGGTATGTTGCTGAAAGGGGTCGGTCCCGTGGTAACGCGTGGCGCGCTCTGCCACTTCTTAGCTTCTGTTCGTCTTGCCTCAAACACATCCATGGCATCTCCCAGAAAGGTTTTCCTGTAGCCAAGGTATTGGTCTTTGAGCATCTGAAGGGGTGGGGGAAGCCATTTTAGTTCAGTATATTTGACATAAAAGCATAACTTACTAAGAAAAAAAAGAGACCAAGTTATAAATATCATTTCCTTGAATTTGTTAAAAAGACCTGAAAGGATCCAGTCAAGTTAGAAACTCCATAGCCACAAGTTTTTCTTTGCTTATATGCTGCAAAGTGGTTAAATGTAATACAGGGACGTTCAGAACGATATCAAAGTCTTTTAAAGTAGGTGTAAATCAACACCATTTGATTTTTGTCAGTACACTGGCTGAGCAAAGAGAAAATACAGCAGCATTATTCATCATAACAAGTTTCCTTCTGTGCTACCCTGATCACATTAAAATATCTTCTGCTCTATTTCACCTCTATTTCTCTCTTTCCTTGCTTGCACTTCTCACTACAAGCTCAAAGAATGTATCACTTTAAGAGTCATTCTTGTTTTTGATACATTTTGTTAGCTAGGTAACATACTGCATTTGCACACACTCATTCCCTTGCTTTAGACTACCAAATTTGTTCCCTTTTCCCTCACCTCAAGACCCCACCTTCTGTCCCAATACCTCACTTTGTCTTATGAAGCACTTCTACCTCTATCACAGATGAGGGAAATACGGATATCTTAGGTAACATAAAAGGATTAAATGACTTCATTTAACAAACTGGTAAAACTGATTTCATTTACAGAATATCCCAAAATAAAATAGGGTTACTAAAAACAAAATGCAACCCAGTAGATTGAACTGAATTTTATGAAGACATACTACTTCCCAAGATTCTGGCTAAGCAGATGCTTGTCTTACGAAGGTTAAACGTGCTCCTTTTCTCAGAAAGGCTTCTTACTCTGGGTTTTAAGTCTGAATCTATCAGAAATCGCACCCATCAGAAACAAAGATTTCTCTCATCATCAGAATAGGACGGCTATCTTTGGTGAGAAAAGATGCCTGTGGAACTTTGATGAGATGTAACACAATGCCAGAGCTCAGAAATGGCATTGGATAACCCAGAGCAGGTCCCAAGGCAGAACGATTAAATTAAGTTCTCCACCTTATTGTGCCCAAGCACATTTTACTTTTCACTGAATCTGGATATAAAAATGCATCCATTATGTAAATACATTTATCAGCTAACCCTGTGCAAAGAAGTTTCAGGCCACATTTTACCACAACTGCAGACCTCTGAGGTGAAGTACACATGCAAGCCAAAAAGCCTTCTTCAGATAAAGGAATGAGTTGCGGTGATAGCTCTGCCTTCATAAATCATATTAGAACCATCAAATGATGAAGAGGCAGCGCTTTCAGAACTGCTCTACTCTCCTAATGTCTCCTATCAGTTGATAAACCAAACTAGACCACTTGAATGTCCCTCTGCAGTATGTTCATTTCCCTCATTTTTGAAGCTTTAGCTGTAATTTTGTTTTCCAAAGTATCAGCCACCGCACTCATGAGACTGAGACTCCCAGCAAGAAAAATCCTTCAAACAATCCCTTATTTTCAGGGAATAATAAAAAAATAACCTCTTTCATAATGAGTCAGGCCAACCAATTACTTGAAGCTATCACTGCTAACACCTGCATACTAATCCAGCTCTTCATATCAAAGAAGCCATGCATCACACACAGATCACAACACAACTTTGGTCACACTCAGATCTTAGGAGCAAGAAGCATAAAACACTTTTGGAATCCTTTTTGTTTAATTATGCTGAAATTATAGGAGCAGCTGATCTATTCTGTACCTGGTAACAAAACAAGTTAACCAGAGCACAAAAGCCTGATGGTAGGTAGCTGTAATCCAGTAAATATCCATGCTAACCAAAGCAACAAGATACAAAGAATATAATTCCTATAAGAGCTTTAGCATTCCTTAACTTTTCCTTAAAGTCAATGTCTGTAAGTGTTTACAGAACTAGCAATATAAATTTTAGGGAAAAAAAAGCAGAGGTTTTTTTTTTTTTTACCTATTTTGCAAAACCAAAGACTTGCACTTTGCTGTTTTAATGTGTTGGAGCTTGCTTTTTTTGTTACCATGAAGAGTTGACACTTCTGAGACTATAAAACACTGACATTTTGTCAGTTTGTCCAGAACTGTCATGAGAAACAAGCTGGAGCCTATGGTGGAAAACTCAAGTCTAACTTGGCTCCTATGGTGCCCTACTGCATAAGCATTCTTTCAGCAGTAGTCGTTTTTATATATATAATTTATATAATATATTTATATATTTTTATATATATATATGCAACTTTTCAAGAAAACCAGGTTACAGAAAACAAAGCCAGAACACACTTATCACCAACATCCTTCATGTAAGAAAAAAAATAAGTATCTTCTTTTTCCTGCTACCTATTTGAGTAAGAGCATATGTAGGTTGTCCTTGCTTGACATCAAGATGTCACTGAGCACAACATATCCACATGAGCAAAAAAAAAAAAAAAAAAAATCAAGAACTGATTAACAATGAAAAGAAATTACATTAAAAACATTTTGTAACCTAAGTGACAGCTCAGCTGCCACCATCACTACAGACAGATGTTTCAAATTAAACTTCAGCTGAATGAAAGCTATCCTTTTAATCCAAGCATATAAGACAATTGTGGTTTTTTTTTTGCTTTTTTTTTTTTTTAAACAATTTAACAGAAAAAAAGCATACTTGAAGATACAGTATCAGTTATTAACAATGACTCTCCAGTTCTTTCACTAAACACATAAGAACATGACATACCTTTACGTTTTCATGTATGGACTGAAGTTGTGCTGCTAAAGCTACAAACGTTTGATAGATTTTCTGCATAGCCATAGACAAATCTGGAAAAGGCACACAGAATATTGGTAAATGACAACCTTATTTCCAGGAGGAAAGGTTTAGTGTTTATACTATAGAAAGAAGCTCACTCTGAATCCACACAGAACAAAGCACAGAAAGACTATATGAAAATAAATTGATGTCTATGAGAAACCCAGTTGCATATATTTTCTACTCAGTAAATCCAGTAGAGTGCTCAGCTGATTTTGCAAAGAGATGAGAGAATAGAGGCCTTACATACATTTAAAAAACATGATTAACAAGCATTACAGAAACTCTTTCCTTCTACTCACAAACATATCACAAACCGAGTAAACTATACCAGTGGAGCTTTCTTGCCTAGATAAATTCCTAGATCAACAATATCCTACTTACCACAGAGATATGAAATTGTTTTCAGTGTATCTAAAATAATGTTAATCTTTAGGATTAAAGATGAAATCTCAGAAGGTTTGTGTAAAATAAGGTGCTGACAAAAAAAGCTTTTTTTTTTTTTTTTTAAAAAAAAAAAGAACTGCATGTACCAAAATGACAGATGGGAAGGTAATGTAGGGATCTTCCATTGAGATTAGATTGCTTCATATTTCTAGAAGGAGGCACATAGGCCACTGAAATCCAAAGAACAGCCATAAATTTCCAGAAGATGAGATATTTTGAGTACCAAAAGTATCTGCAGCTCCGCAGGGGAACTTCTCAATTATAACTTACAATTCTTTTTGAAGAAGAGAAGCTGGGGAGCTTTTGTATATCATCCTGTAAATATGTGGAGCCAGTGGAATCTAGGAACACTGCTTTCAGCCTCTTTGGAAAGATGCGGCCAATTTACTGATACCAAACTCAAGACGCTTCAAAATTCAAGACATTCTGGGTCATAATTTCTGAGTTCTCTTGTATGCTGACAGGTCAGCTGTCCACACATAGAATAGCCAACTAGATTTGCTGACAGCTGACTGGCGCAGCAGATCAGTCCTTGCCCATGCAAGCAAAGAACTTTACACTGCAGCAGTACATTGCTGAAAAGCCTATGGAACACTGTTTTGGGAAAACCTCTTATCAGAGATCTGGATAAAGGGACACAGCAGCAAAAAGACTAAGTCTTCTTCAACATCTGCAGCAAGATGGCTCTGACTAAGAAAAGTCCTCATTTTGATTGTGACTGGCCAGAGCAGACAGACTGCTTGTCTGTTCAGACAGAGCACTACAAGGACACAAGGTGCCAGACCATGAGGTGCTAGGACCCAGCCTAGCCAGAAGGGTATCACAAATGTTAATGCTCCCACTTTTATGCTTACCAAATGGAAATCACATTTTCTCACTATAACATTAACCTCTAAGAACGCTACACAGTGACAAATGCAATGAGTGATCTGGAAGCAGAACAAACAAACAAAAAAACCCTAACCAAACAACCAGGCAAACCTGGGCCAAGTTAAGAAAAGACTGCAGAGCAGGGTGATTCCTCTGATGTTTATGAGTTCATTAGGAACGTAAACAAGGACAACAAGATGGCAAATGCATACACACTGCCAGAAAGGGAGCACAGAACTGCTCTTAAGTATTCTCAAAATGTCTCAGATGTGCCCTAGTCCCATGAAGAGCCCTGAACTTCCATTCACAGCTCCCACGCAGGAGCCCTAGCTGAATGTAGGAAAGACTCAGAAGCCACTCTTATGAAAGAGCAAAAGTCAGACAACATGAGTGTAAGAATATAACATTTCTTTACTTCCTAATTTTCAGATGGACTGAAATTATGATTTGTTTTCCTAGACACCTTCCAAAATTTCCAAATGACACAAACCAAGCACACAAACTGCATCTCAGGAAACAAATTCATTTTACAAAGCTTAAAAGACTTTACAAATTCAAGGCTATATTCCAAGCCACAGAATTCACCTGAACATTTGTTTCTGTACATTAAGTAAGGAGATTAATTACTGTTAATTTTAGTTTTTCATTATTAAGCCTACTATAAGCATAATATTATCTTTTGTGTCTGAAACATTTAAGTAGAAACATTTACCTTGTGGAGTTATATGTGAATTATTTGCTTGAGTAGCAAGATGATTTTCCAGTTCTTCTATTTGTTGCCTATACTGCCGCAGTTGTACTTCAAACTGCTCTACCAAGATTCTGAAGTAGCTAGGTGAGTAAAACAGTGAAGTTTAATCATATCATTTCATGGATTTGCCACCATTTGAAAACAAAGAACACACCACCACGTTAGCTGTCTACATTCATTTCATTACTTGCAGCAGGTATGTTTTAATGGCATTCTTGATGTTGTTCTACTAGCAGAAAAAGAACAAGGACTGCATTTCTCATGCCTGAGATCCAATAAGCACTGATACAATGAAGCATTCAGTACAGACATTACAAGAAAAAAAAAAAAGTGTCAACTTAAGAAGTTATATTATTGCTTTTTTTTTTTTTCTCTTTCCTTTTTTTATAAGCAACAGTAACTCACTCTGCTGGGGCTGTGTTTTCATGCTGGAGACCAGGAGGAGTTTTCTGTGTTCTTAATGCTATTTCTGCATTCTTTAGCTCCTAAATAAATGAGGAAAATTAGTAAAACATAAGGCTCAGAATTAAGCGTTCAAAAGAAAAATAACTACAATTCTTCAGTTAATCCACAAACATGGGAAGAAAACATTCTGTCAGTTAAAACTATGATAGAATATGACCAGAAATTCTTCAGAGAACAGATTGTCATGAGGTTGAGGAACTGCAAATACCAAAATATGTTTAGACAAGAAACAGGCAGCAGTGCACCCTGAAAGCTTGCTGATCATCTAGTTCTTTAAATATCATCTAGTCCAACCCTCCTGCTCTGGGCAGAGACTGTCACAGGTAAGGTTTGCATTCTGTTGTAACAAATTAACAGGCTATCTGAAGTAAAGACTAAGGGGGGGGGAAAAAAAAAAAAACAAAACACAACAGTCAAATGCAAGAAAGTAACACTCCTAAAAAATAACAAAAAGGGCTGTTTTGTCTTTAAAAAAGGCTCAGTAGTGTGATAATGCTTCCTTTCCTATGGAAAAGATCTTTTTAAGCATGAGGATTAGACTAGACATTCTCTTTAATACTTTCTAATAATACCATCATTAATCATTTCTCAGTGCCTAGTTCTATTAGTAATACTCTCTTATTTCCTTATGATTAATAACAAGTTTTTTGCTTTCACAGCAAATAATTACCAAAGCACAACTACAGAGTATTTCCTTTCAAAATTTAGGAGCATATTTTCATTTTAGAATGAAATTCACTTATAGACAAAGCAAGCAGTCAGAACAAGCCAGATGAAAGAACAAATGACACCGAGCTTCACTTCAAAAGCACTTGAATCAAAACTCGAGCTCATGCTAGTTAGACAGTTAATACAAGGACCAGTGGACTTCTTCATTAAATAAATACTGGACATAATTAGACACTTTATCCCTAATATTTTTAATTTATTTTTTAAGTGATGAGAAAACATACTTGCATTTCCACTGCTCCCAGAGTTCAGCATGTGACTGCAAAAAAACCTTCACTAGCAGTTGAATGTGCAACTGAAATCAAACTAGAGTGGGTGCATATTCCCTTCTGTTGCCGACCTGAGTGTAGTGCTTTCCTGAATAAAGCTCTCCTTGCTGTTACACTTAGCTGAAAATACTGGCATCACAGATTTCAGTCAGTCGCCACCTCCAGTAATTTCAAGAAGATCAGAAGGGATTCAACTTGTCACTTTGTTTACAACTGCTTCAGTTTGGAGTTTCGACACCTTAACTTGACTGATAAAGAAGGGTATATATCCCACAGCAAACATTCAAGCTCTACTTAAGAGAAAAATGTGATACCTGCGCAGTTTCCATTTTCAGCTTGTCAATATTAAGAGTGTTTCTTTGTAATCCACTGGCAACTACAGACAGAAGCTGTTTCAGAGCTTTTATATCTTCCTGTACTTTAAGCATTGCTTTAGATGACATTCTACTAATTTCCTCCTGAACTTGTTTTTGTTCTTTCACAAATTTCCTAGAGAAAGGAAAAAAAAAAAGGAGGTGGTAGGAAAGAAAATAATGTACTCAACCTAAAGTACTGAAGTGTTTAATTTAGTTGCATTATTCAAATAGCAATGAAGTTAATTTTCCCAAAAACCAGGTACAGAATAGTAAAATGCAGAGTAACATTAACTCTTAATATGCTAATACTGTAAATCAGCAAAAAACACAAGACTTGTAACTGTATAAACATTTTACACTGCACCTGATAGGTAAGCTATGATTTATATATACATAAAAGTACATAAAGTAATTACTACATTGAACTCACAAATACTCTAAAACATAGTCTAGTCAGAGGCTGTATAACTTGCCTCTTTCCTGCCTGAATCAAGGCTAGCTTGCAGTTCTCTTCATGCTATGCAAGATCCATAGTGTACATGCAAACAGAATTTGATACTTATAACACACATGCAAGAAGCTTAATGCTCCCAGGGAGGGCTGGATCAGCTTCTAGAAGTGTCTCTTGGACACACCTGTTTGTGGAAACAGGACTGAAAACTGAAGTGGCAAAAGACTGGGACATCAGCTAATAGAATTATTCACCTACTCTGCTCCCATCATTAATCTCCTGTCAGCCTCAGGCTAATAAGTCATCCTGCACATCCTCTACTGCTTTCTACGCTGTTGTTACAGAGTGTTAACAGAATACAGTACTTAGCAACACCACTGCCATAAATAAACACTACTTACTGTAGATTTTCTACATCTTGGCAGATTACTGGAGGTAGGTTTTCATCCTTTAGTGCTTTGCTGTCTCTACAAGAAACAATGCATGTTTAGATGGTGCTTCAATACTGTCAAGCATTTTTACATGATTATTAAGTACCGTGAAAACTTCCAAGTGACCAATCACTCAACTTTGCACCCGTTGCATGCATGCTGCATCCATCTAGGAATGATTTGAATTAATTAATAGCCCGAGACTATGAGAGTATCTAACAACATGGTGTAAATACTGCACATAATTTACAGAAACCATTTTTCAGTCTATGTGACCAGTTTAAAGTACAAAGCAGCTGAGCTGTAGGCATTGCAATTTGCTCAAATGCAATGCAATGCTTCAAAAGGATGAACCACCATTATTAAGTGACCCATATCACAAGAACTGGTTATTTATTTAAGCCTTTTCAAAGATTAAAGTAGTAGAAGAGGCAGCATATCGAAAACAGCTAAGCTTAAGATACTGAATGCAAAGAATCTGAACTTACTCTGGTCTTGTTCCCGTTTTGTCACCTAGAAAATAAAAATGGTAGATGAGAAAACATGTAGAAGAATTGACAAAAACTTTAGTAAGATTTTCCATTAAGAAATGATTATTGCAATCTGATTGATTTTCTTGATAAATACAGCATATAAGGAAGAAGGTTTTCATTTATTCTCCTTCAGAGATAAGTTTCTTTTCAAGAACAATGACTCACGTTCAGGTGTTAATCTCTTGGCACAAAAATTAACATAAAACATCTTGTGTCACCTTGCAAGTCCCTTCAAATACATGAGCTACTGCAATTGCATAAGAAATCCATCCCTGCTTAAGCTTGCTGGATTTTCTTAAGAGCTCTACTATTGCACATTGTTCAGGAATAAATGTGATTTCACAGAACCAAAGGTGTTACTGCTTATCTATCATTTATAGACTCCAAATAACAAATCTGCACATCTAGATGAGAAAATTAACCAAGATGCCAAACACTTCTCTTGAACTACACAGAAAGGAGCTGAAAGCAGTATCACATGAACAGGCAAGCCATGAGTACTTCTAGTCACAGCCATGGGCAGAAGTTGTACCTCATATCAGAGCAGATTGCTAGTAAGGTTGCTCAGATTGGTTGCCATTCAAATCCTCACACCATCATCAAACTAGAAGGTAGCCACGAAGGTCACAAGAACACCAAAACTTAATCTGCACAAGCCAGTGCTCCTGCCAGGAGAAGCCACTTGTTTGAAAAGAAGTAATTGCTTAGACCTGCACTCTGTCATCCAGTACCAGAACCCAGTGTCTCATACCTATTCCCTACACCTTCTGCAAAATGAACAAACAAGAATCAACCAATGTTCCATTCCTCCTCCACTCGACCTAAACAAAACCAACAACCAAACAGAAGCTGCACAAAACTGGGAAGAAAAAAAAAAAGATGACCCAAACAAATACCAGAATTCAGACTCCTTTCTCAGCTGACAGCCTAGGTAGTAAAGCAAGTTTAATCTGTGTTCTCAGTCACTAATTTTTTTAGCTAAACTTTGCCTGAACAGTACCTACAAAGTGAAGGACAGATTTGAAATCATACCTGACTACTTGTCTGACCATATGCTCACTTTTTTTGATCATATACAAGAAAAACTGACATACAAGAATAACTCCCAGCAGCCATCTGTAAAGAAATACTAGGCAGCCACTCCTTAGTCTCAAGTCAAAAAATATACTGTAGCAAATTCCAGAAGACAGCATAAAGGTGCCCATGTGTCCTGGAACTCCATGGACAGTAATCTCACAAGCACTTCTTTTTAGTAGCCACATCTCTTTCTTCCTTTTCTTCAGGAAGGAAAAAAGGTTCAAGCCATAAAACTAACACTCTCAAACCTTTCTTATTGCAGTTTCTCATGTAGTCCTACAGGCAACTGTACCATCAAAAAAAAAGCAGTACTGCAGAAATAGGAATTTGTCAAGGCTTCTTAGGTCACTACTACCTGTTACCAGAAATTCTAAATTAAATCCTGAATTTTTCTAAGTGAAAACTCAAGCAGTCCCCTTCAGCATTTTCTACTGCTTAGTTTAGAAATCTCTTCGCTCATCGTCCTCCTGACAGCAACAGCCACACACACCCACACCCACCAACCCAGATTCAGTACACAGCAGGAAGTTGGTAATCAGCTCCTTTGGGATTACATCCAAAGAACTGAGAAAAACAATGCTGAAGTAGTCTGTGGTTCTCTAGGTCATATTTTAAGATACTTGTACGTCATTGAAGAGTTGTGCAATCCTAATATCACAGTAATGGAAACTCCATGAGAACCTAAGAATTGGAGCTTTTTCATCACTTTCAATAATGAAGTAAAAAAAGAGAAAGTCAGCATCATGCTGAGCACTCCAGTTTAGAAAGCCAATATGCAAGCACAAGGCTCTGCGTTTCCACAACTCACAGTCCTTCGTAAAGATGGTTTCATGAAGCTTCTACTAGTTTTCAGAATACCTGATTTCAGCAGTTTTACAATTTGCTCTTTAATGAACTAAAGATATTAAATTAACAGCTTTGATTCCCCAGAGAAAATAGGCATTTCATAATCAACTTTAGTTAAGATGCTTTAGATGTATGAAATCAAGGCAAGTCAACAACCACCTGTCAATACTCACTTTTCCCTTATTTAAGTACATTGGACCTACCTCAGACTTAGGTTTAATAACTAGTGTCAACAACCTCATGGAGGGAAACAGATCCCCAGCACTAGAAAGAATTTGTGTTGAAGAATAACAGGTGAACAACAGGACATTTTTATTCTGTAGGTTTTGAAGAGGAGGAAAGTGAGAAAAAAAAAAAAGCCATCTCCACTCCACAAGTCTGAGAACTGCAACTGCTGGAGAAAACTTTTCCAGTGAGCACTTTCTGTACTTACAATGCATTTCTTAAACATCGCACCGTTCCCCCATCTAGCGGCCAGCTGATGCAACTGTAAGGAAATCTGCCATGACTTTTCAACAACCAGCCCTGAGTCTTTTATTCCAGGAAGGCTGCATTCCTAACGGTGAAACAGTGTCTCTGCTGTCCTCAATCTGTTGTACTCAGATACTTTGTCAACAAATTACTGCATAGGTTATTGGTTTTAAACATTTTAAAAACAAACTTACTCTTTTTATCTGAAGAACTACTAAAATCAATGCCACCAAGACCTTCATTAGCAGTACTGGACGGAGCTGCAGTTGTCCCCAAAGTCAAGCTCAAAGCATTCTGCCCAAGTCCTTTTAAGAAACACAAACAGAATTTCTGCATTTAAAAAGTAGTTTACTTTAAACTAATACCCCAGACTACCTTACTTGCAATTTCAGAGTCCATTTACTGCATTTGGATTAAAAAGCTCAAAGAAAAACAGATTTTATCAAGTTTCATACAACTATGTATGGTTTTTAATGAAATTTCCTTACAATATTTTTGAAATAGATAGGTAACATCATCAGGATTGCCAACACCTTTCTGTTTCATTCTGTTTAAGAGCAGCATGTTCCCAACACTACAAGATATTAATTTTTCTTCTAGAACTCAAAGACAGGAAGTCAGTAAATAACTGAAAGGATAATACTAAGTCAAAGGTTTTATTCAGACTAAAACCCACCAATGTAAGGAGCAATCAACTTGAATAAGATATTAAGACAACACCACCCTCTCTCATGTGACTTCCTTGAGTCAATTATTACAAAGATATTTTTTTTTTAATGAAAATACAAGAAAAAGAATAAACAAGTTTAAACATTAGGAAGAAGCTAAGGACTTAAGATTATTTTCTACAAATAGCAACAGTTTCAAATAGTGATGCTTAAAAATGACTTTCATGGCATTAAGATTTACTTTATATAAAATCTTAGATCATAATTTAATACAACTGCACAATCACAAAATTTTGAGGCAGGAAAAGGAAAAAACAAATCAACTTTTACCTGTTGCTGCTGTGCTTGTATTCTGGAAGAGTGAACCTCCTAAACCTGCTAGTGTCCCTCCCAAGGACAGGCCTGTGGAGGCAGTTGTAGTTGGTGCAGTTGTTCCACCTAAATTTAAGGTAAAGCCAGTAGTACCTGCAGAGGAAAAACCCAACAATGAAAAACAAGCTTCATGTAGACACTGCATTCAAAGTCATCTACAGAAAGTCTGAAATAAAGAAATAATCCTTGTAGTCACTCAATATTAAACTCAGCTATTGTTTTTTTCTCTGTGACTTTCTACCAGAGACTTTCAAACCATATGTGACTTTGTTTCACAATACTGTAAGCTTCATTAGTTTACCTGCAACTGTAGCAAAATTGAGAGCTACCCAGAATGCTAGATAATCTGGAACTTCACACTGATTTTACAGCACAATGGATCTAACAACTACTACTGACCTTCTAAATGCCAAAATGTTTGTGTTATACATTAAAGCACTTCACTTCCAAGTGCAAGGTGCTGCAACTGGGTCAGGGCAATCCTAAGCACAGATACAGTTTGAGTGGAGAATGGCCTGAGAGCAGCCCTCAGGAGGATTTGGGGGTGTTGACTGATGAGAGACTCACCATGAGTCAGCAGTGTGTGCTCACAGCCCAGAAGGCCGACTGTATCCAGGGTTGCAGCAAGAGAAGTGTGACCAGCAGATTGAAAAAGGCAATTCTGCCCCTCTATTCTGCTCTCCTGAGACTTCACCTGGAGTACTGTAACCTGTACTGGAGCCTCCAACACAATGAATGGAGCTGTTGGAACAGATCCAGGGGAGGGCCATGAAGGTGATCAGAGGGCTGAAGCACCTCCCTTACGAGGACAGGCTGAGAGAGCCAGAGCTGTTCAGCCTGGAGAAGAAAAGGCTCTGAAGAGACCTTATAGCAACCTTCCAGTACTTGAAGGGGCCTACAGGAAAGCTGGAAGGGACTTTTTATAAAGGCATGTAGAGACAGGATGAGGGGAAGTGGTTTTAAACTGGAAGAAGGTAGATTTAGACTAGACATATAGGAAGAAATTTTTCACTGTGAGGGTGGTGAGACACTGAAACAGGTTGCCAGAGAGCTGCCAGAAAGAATGCTCCCTCTATCGAGGCATTCAAAGCCAGGCTGAATAGGGCTTTGAGCAACCTGGTCTAGTGGGGGGTGTCCGGTGTCCCTTCCTAAGGCAGGGGAGTTGGAACTAAATGACCTTAAAGGTCCCTTCCAACTCAGACCATTCTATGAGTCAGACTGAAAAAAAAAAAAATAAAAAGACAGACATCTCATTGCTCTGGAATTAAGTGTCTCAGCTTTGGCAGAAAAGGGCAGAAGCAGAGAAGGACCACTGGCATAAAGTGACAGAATATAGACACAAAACCGTGTTTAAATGTAGGCTCCTGGGGTAAAAAAAACAAAACAAAACCCTCTGGTCTTAATTATCATCATGTATGATGCAGTTTATGTGAGTTGTAGCATGATGGAAAGTGTTGGACAGTAAGAGAACTACACAGGAAAAAAAAAAATCTCATTTACACTTCTAGTTAACTATTTCATGCTGTCTACACCAGGTGGACATTTTTCAGCTATAGAACATGACAAATCAGCTGTTGCTACCCTCCTAATGACCTGGATAACAGGCTGCCTAAATTACAGGCTATATTGTGCTCTAAATAAATGTAAAGATGGCCTGCATTAGGCTCCTCAAACTTAGAGCTAGAAAAATCCAATGAGCCTTCTTACTGAAACACCACAAAAACACGTAAGTACTAGAATGAAATAGAACATAGCACTGTTTTAGAATAGTTACGTTGTAAAAATGAAACAAAACATTTTCCTACCTGCTGCAGGAGTTGATGTAAGAGCAGAAGACAGCGACAGGCCACTTGCCGAGGTAGAAGTAATAGATAAAGCAAACGGTGTGGCTGAACCTGCAGGTTTGTTGAAGCCTAAACTAAAGCCTGTGGTAGCTGCTGATGTGGTAGCAGGTGTGCCTAAAAGAAATCCCCAAAATAATTATCATTTGTGGATATTTTGTTTGAGAATGAGTACTTAACCTTATCTTCTAAGTTATATCTGTTTAGCTGTCACTAGCATCACTGCATGAGACCAATTGCAGCCAATAAAATATTTCCATAGCATCTTCAGATACATTTCAAAAGTATGTTTTCTCCAGAATTTCAAACAATCTATGAGTATAGATTACATCAAAAGGTAATTTAAAAGTGCAAAAGAACTTCCACCAAACAGATCTGGCTGAAAAAAACTACCAAAATATTGGTAGATGGAACTATATTGTCCAAAATACAGACTAAATTCTCCACTGGATGTGTATATGGGCATGAGAACAGGTACCCTTTCAATTTGCAAACAAGAAAAATGTGTTGAGATGTTACTCCCTCCAACTTTGCTTTTGAACACTTGCAAAGTTAAACAAAGCTTCTACTTCCTGCCAACTTCACAGTAAGAATATGCCTTCTGTTCTAGAACATCACAATAACAAGCATAAGAAAAACACTATTCTCAGTAAGTGCTGTGTATGTTTTCAGTGACATTTCATTCAACCACAGAAAAGAATTACTATTCACATGCACAGCACTGCCATATATGATTACATTCTGGCTTAGCTGCTCCTCTCTTCTCCCATCCACTTCATTTACTTCTTCAGTACCACTTCCTCCCAATTAGCACAGCTTCCAAAGCTCTAGGACACCAGTCTGTCCTGTAGCACTACCACCACCACCCTGACCCAAACACTTCTAATTACACAAGCTCAGTTGCTGGTGTTTCAATAACAATAAAAACACCCACATATTCCTGTAATTCTAATGATGGCTGAAAAAGTTATTACATATACATCAGAGAAACATATTCCTAATATCCCTTCCCAGTTCAAACCTCTTTACTCTTCTACTAGAGGGAATCAGCAAACAGATTTGTTCTCTCAAAGTTCACGACAGAAAGAAATTCTATCTTAAGAATTCTTTGCTAACAGACTCCACTTCTCTGCTGAAGGATGGAACTCATCAGGGGATTTAAATGCAGGCCTAACTTCTCACTGTGACTACTTGTACTGTTGAACAGCAATGGAATAACCCTTTAGCTGCACTCTGGCTCACTACCTTAACACTGCAGACTGCAATTAACAGTGAGCAAAAAGCTTGCACACGTTAACCTTCTACATTAGAAGAACTAAACAACTTCTTCTCTGCCTGTACATCATTAACATCCAAATGAGGTCCTTACCCAGAGTCAGTGCTGGAGCAATGGTTGTTGCTGTTCCTGCTTTAAGAAGAAAAATAGAGTAAGAACAGTGAGGACCACAAAGCAGTTATGTTATTAACCATCATAAATATTTATTCTGGTGTGTTGTTCCACTACATGTTACAATACGTAACATCTTGAAAGCAAAGTAACTGCCACACCAAAACCACTATTTGTAACTCCCAGCTACACAAATCAAAGTATAAAGCCTTTAAAGCAAACAATGTCTTTTTACAAGAATCCATTAACAGTGAAGTTGATGTAACATATCAGTACTAAATTTCAAATAATTGAAGGCACACTACATGAAGACTGATAATTCTATCAAGTATTTTTTCAGCCATCTGACAGTACATAAAATGGATTTATAATTTATTTATAATACAATGAAAAGAATTACAAGATTTTTGTGAAATGCTGTGTCTTAGCTTAGGATGACAGCCCCAGTGGATATTTGGGGTGGAGAACACAGAGCCATGCAATTTCAGACTTTAAACAATTAGAAGATCAAAGAAATGATGCAAAGAGCCAAGACAAAATGGTCCCAGCAGAGCAGGACATGATTTTGGCCTACTCATGAATTCCTTTCTAACAGTGGTACCTCTAAGAACCAATCTATTTATTCAGACAGATGAAGAAAAAGGCGCTGTCCAAATATACTGAGGCCAAAATAAAATTCCTCTTTGTGCACAATTACTGAAAAACAACTCAAGACTGAAAAGGTTCATTACTTTATACACCAATTTTTAGAGGACTATATACTTAACTACGGACCTAAAAAGTCAATTTATTATTTTCATTAATGTTGGCAATACAAGTAAACTCACTATTGCAAGACCGTGAACACCAACAATTTCACATTGATTTAAGTATTTTTCAGACCAAAACACATCTCAATCTCAAATCATAGTTTTGAGTCTCTTGGAATAGGAGGTAAGTTGCAAAATATATACATGCAATAATAATCAGGATTCAAATGATGGCACAATTTATACATATGCCTAGTAACAGCTTCTAGTAGCTGTATTTATGTTTCTGCATCATTGGTACTGCACGCTTCTTACTAACTTATTTCACAGTTCAATTAAATTGTTTTTCAAATGTATTTATTAACAACGTGACATAACATTCTGAGCTACAGATCTGAGTTACTATGAACAAACATCATGATAACCCTGTTTTTGTGTGTATATGGTACATTCCTTCACCACTGTTTCACACATCTGCTGTACAAGTGTTTTCCTACCTGTACTGGTGCCTCCCAGCGTAAAGCCAGTGGCTGGTTTTGATCCAAAAAGCCCGCTCCCAAATCCCACTGAAGGAGCTGAAGTGGTTGCCGTAGCAGTGGAAGAACCCAGAGTTCCAAAATTAAGTCCTCCTGTAGAGCTATTACAAAATAAGGCTGTTAACATGTATTATTTCTTAAAAGGAAAAAATCCAACCCCCCTTTATTTCTGTTTCCCACATTTCACCTCTGTGAGTCGACAGAACACAGCTGACCAGGACAGTCAGAGCTCACTCCAACCAAAGAGGAATCCACCTTCCTCACTTGTACGGCTACCTGGAAGCCAACAGCTGCTGTGACTCAGAGTCCAGCACCTGCTGAATACTCGGCTGAACTGCTACATATGGCTAGAACAGCCAAAAACTTGCACTTCTCTGTCAGTTGCCTAATGATTTCCCCTGAACTATGGGAACAGAGGAACAAGTGCTATTGCCAGAACAAACATGACAAACCTACAGGAACATCTTCTCAAAGCACACTGAAAGTACTCCTAGATGTGTCTAACCAGAAACCTCAACTCACACTCTGCTTCATTCCAAAGCAGTAAGCATGCAGACACATCACACCAACAACACAACTTTGTCCTGCCTTAGCAAGAAACAGGAACAAAACTGCTACTGTTACCCATAAATGCAAATCACAGATGACCCATATCTACATTTCAAATACATTCTTTTCCAAAAATACACTGTGCAATCCAATTAAAGAAATTAACTCCCAGAGCTATTTTCACTGGGAAGATACAGGAAAGAAAGGAGAGACTCAGAATCTAGCAATCCAAAGGAAAATATTTATTTATTTTGGGTAGCTACACACTGTAGAAATCTTATGGCAAACACAGGACAAGCCTTACATTTTGCACAGAATGCATTAGGTTACTGCACAGAGCATATGGGAAATACAATAACGATGATTATCTCTAACCTGTGAAGTGACAGGTACTAGCAGCCACACTAATCTAAGATCACAAAATTCTGGTTCTTAATTGATGAAAAGCTACGTGAATGATTTCCTTATAGTAACTTCCAGCTCCCACAGGCAGACCTCTTGATAAACTACAGAAGTTTCTTTCAACTGAGCCATCTGGCATAGAGCACAACAGTAGCAATGAAACGAAGCACAGTTTGGACTTCAACGTAACAATCTTTACAGATTGTTTTAAGTTTTGGATGTTTAATATCCTCTCTTTATTTCCTCACCTCCTCTCTCTTGGTACGAGCATGGCTCCTGTGCCCAACAAATTAATCACAGGAGTTAATCCTTAAGAAGGCTGACACAGGTTTCTACACTTTAGGTCTTGGAACTGATCCTGTAAAGTGGTTCAAGTTCAAAGCCTACATGCGAGTCATCCTTAAAGGTAAGTAACTCAGGAAAGAGAGGCCAAGAAGTTGAGGAAGACAAAAGACAAATAATTGTCCAGCTTCAAAGCTTTCAGCTTTTTTTTCCTCTCAGAATTTCAAGATGCCAAACTGTAGCAGCACATCCTAATTGTTTATCGACCTGAATATACAACACGGTGCTTCTCTCATTTGCTGAGAGCTTGTTTCTCATCTTTTCCTACTACAGAAAAGGATGATTTTTCTATGATTTTTTTCCTAGTCCCTGCATTCCAGTAGAAGAAAGCTATGGTGCAACTGATACAGCTCAGCATTGTGGGGAAAATGAAAACCAAACACGACAGTAAATACAGAGAAATTTAAAAATAAACAAAGTTTAACTAAACCAAAACATATAGGCAAACCAATGGCAGCACAGGAAAGCATGGACCACAGGGATTATTTACTACCTGCCCATAGATGGAAGGCATCACTTTGACATGGTGGCCCCAAAGGAAAACTCAGACTGGAGCTAAAACAAGTCATAGAATGGCTTAAACTGGAAGGGACCTTCCAGTCCATCCAGCTCCAACCCCTGGCATAGGCAGGATTGTCACCCATCACATCAGGCTGCCTCACAAAGCACCATACCGGGCTAAAGCTGGATATGGAATACACTGATAAACAAAGCATTGGAACTGCTAGAGATTTAACACAGGAATTACATGGGCTGCCATACCATACTCCTTAAGACACAAGAATATAAACTTTGACTGATCCCTGTGATCAGTAATACCTATGATTAGAAAACAGAACAAAACCCCCTTCCCCCCAGCACCTGGCAATATTGCCCTTCAGCCCTGCAGAGAAGAGAATCAGCTTCTTCTTCAAGTCTTAAACGCGTTTTCAAGTAAACCACCCCATAGGGATGCTCAAGATTCTTTCATTTAACACCCAACAGCAAAAAGGCTTCTGCGATGCTCCCTGACCAATAGCCCTGAAGACTCAGCCTACTTGTAGAAATAAAGTTACGAATAAAAATGCCAAGCACATCTTTACTATTAATTAGCACCTCTTATATGCTTACTTTATTTTTTTAAACAGATAAAAAAGCAAGATAGAATAGCAAAAAAATAAACACCAATAAAAACATTTAAGTGCTACAGGAAATTTGTACTAACCCCATCAACCAGACAAAAGAAGTTCTCAATTATGACAGTACAATTAAAATAATGGCTTGGAATAAAAAAATTTTGGACTGTCTCGTTTTACTCATAGGAACTCAGTATTAAACAGGTATGGGACAAAAGAAACTTGGAAAAATTCTTAACAAAGCCAACAACAGCTTTATTGTAGAGGAAAGAATATGCAGAAATATATCAAGAATCTATGACGACGGGACAACTAAGGCATCAGAAGAGACACTGAAGCCTTGCCTCTCCCATAAGTGGTTCCAAACAGCAATAATGCCCTTTAAACCCAGAATCACAGCATGCCTTGGATTGGACAGGACCCCAAGGATCATCAAGGTTCAGCCCCCTTCCCACAGACAGTGCCACCAACCTCCAGAAGACGCTCTCAGATAATGAAAGGGAGCCTTAAAGGTGATAGAACTCAAAGGATTCTATGAAGATCCCCCATCCCCTTCCTGCTGCTAATCCTACCAATGCTTCGGGGCGGGCATTCTGAAACATACCCATTCCAGATTAACGTCCTAAGTAGCTCACTTATGGTTCAGCAACTATTTTGGCACGTTCAGATTTGGGAAGAACTCCAAAATACTGAAAAAGCTCCAAAGTTCCATCATAACAGTCCTAAACTTCAGCAGAAGCATAGCAGCAAGATGAGAAGACATGGTATGCACTCACACATCCATAGGCACACACACGGAAAAGAACAAACCAGCCCTCGCACTCAGCTATAACTCACAGAGCTCCGCCAGCAGAGCCCCGCGCAGCTCAGCGCACAGCAGCGGCGCTCCGTTTCCCCGAACGCAGTGGGCACAAGGCCGGACGGAGCCCCGCGCCCCAGGGCCACAGCACGCGGTGCCGCGCGGCCATCAGGGCCGTCCGTGTCGGCGGGGCCGGGGCTGCAGCCAGAAAAACGCCAACTGACCCAAGCGCGACGCTGCCCGCCTGCCCGCATCCCGCCCACCCCGAGGCCCATGCGGGCCAGGCCGGGAGGCCAGCAACAGGGGCCAGCCGACGGGGGCCAGGGGGAAAAGGCCGCGTTACCTCGGCGCGGTGGTGCCGAAGGAGAACCCACCGCCCCCACCTCCTCCTCCAGCTCCGGCGGCGGCGGCCGCCGCGGAGCCCAGGGTGCCCGCGCCGAAGGAGAAACCCGCAGACATGGCGGCGACGGCGGGAACGGCGGCAGAGGGGTGCCGAGAGATGGCGTCAGGCGGCGGCGGGGTCCCGGTAGGGCTGCGGGGGCCTCCCGAGGAGCAGCTGTTGCCCTCAGCGCCACATGGCGCCCCGTAACGCCTCCGAATGCGAGGGCGGCGGCAAGAGAACGGGCGGCCACAGAGCACGCTCCCTCCGCGCGCCCGCCGCAATGCACCACGGGATGGCGGTACCGCCACCTTCCGCTCTTAAAGCGGCAGCGCCCCGAGCTGCCGGCCTTGCTCCTCGAGAATGGCTGGAGAGCGAGCGGCCTGCTGCTCTCGTAACGGTATAACGGGAAACGGGGCTCGCTAAAGGCGTGATTTTAATAACGTGTGATGGCCTGTGGGCATCATCGCTCAATCATCTGAAAGCTCGGTTTTTGAGAAGCGGATAAAATGAGTTCATTTGGTATAAAACCTGTACGCTGCGTTATTTTTAATTGAGCTGGCAGTGCAGTCCATTGTTTAAGCTGCTTTATCATTTAATTACGGTACCAGGGCTCTGTATGCTGCCTCCCACACAGCTGTGAGGCGCATAACTGTTACTTCAGTGCAGCCTGAAACTAAAAATTCCTCGTTTTCCAGCACGCGTTGTGTCAAAAAGGGCCCCTATGGGGTGGAAGTTTGGAGGACAGGCTCAGGTTGATTATTAGGAAAAATTTATTCCCAGAAACAGCAGAGAGGCAGTGGCACAGCTGCCCAGGGAGGTGGTGCAGTCACCTCCACGTGAGGCTGTGGCACTGAGGGATGTGGGATGTGGTGCGGGAGATGAGTTGAGGTTGGACTGGATGATCGTTTCCAACCCCAACGATTCTGATTCCGCTCCACACAAGGCCTAAGGAACCAGAGAATGATCCTTTTTCCTACAGTCTCCCTAATAGCAGCTGCTAGAGAAGCTCTGCATCCAGCACTGAGCTCCACAACTCCTAGAACTGCACTCCCATGCCCTTTTTCCCCGACCGCTGCTCCCACAAGGACACACCGAAGCACTGCGAAGCACCACCAATCACATTAGGAAACAACACTCCGCAACTCCATGCAAGCCACCTTCACGCCCCCCATATGGCACTATCTCCTGAAGGCGCATGCGCAGCAAATAGTGGCGGCACACCGCGCACCCTCCCGCCGCTAGGGGGCGCTGCAAGCAGTTAGGGTAGGCTCCGCCCAGCCCCGCCCCGCCCCGGAAGCGGCAGTAGGTGACGGCCGGCCCGGCCCGGCGGCAGCACGTACTGCGTTCAGCTCAGGGCCGTCATGGAGCACATCCGCACCACCAAGGTACTGCCCGGTACCGCGGGAGGGGTGACGGTGCTGCTGGTGTTGGGATGGTCGCCTGTGGGAGGTACCGGGGCTCGTTCAGGCCCATCGTGTCCATCGTGTCCCTGCCTCGCCGATGTGTAAGGGCGTCGGTGCCTCCTCCGCAGCTCTTACCTCCATCCCTCCCTCTCTCCTTCCTTCCTCCCCCGCCTCGCCCGCCTTCGGGGCGCTTAGTGCTGCCGGGCCTCTCGGTCGGGCCGCTGAGGGTCGCAGCTTCCCGCTGTGGGCTCCCGGGCTGAGCTGTCCTTTTTATGAGGCTCTTTTTGTTTCTATTTTTATCCTATTGCTCTCCTTTATAACAATATATAGTTTATATCCGTATGTATACGTCTGAGTTCTTTCCGAGTCATAGCTTAGCAGTGTTTTGTTTTCTTTCTTACTGCTAAGTCTGCTGTGAGGACCGCCTTTTTCTCTGTGGTGCCTCGGGGCTCGCTAAGCAGGCGGTTTGTACCTGGCAGCCTGACTACAGCCTGGGCTTGTAGGGTGTTTCATCACTTTCTCCGTATATTTACGTCCAATAAATTTATAATCACTGCAAGGGAAATGGCTTTTAATTTCGAGGGAATAATACCTGAGTTACTTGATACAAAACGTATGCATCTTATTTCTTTTTATGTATACATACACGCATATATATATATATATATATATATATATATATATATGCAACTGTAGGATGACCTCTAGCAAGGCTACTGTTCCCCCCCTAATCCACTTTAAAGCTATGGGTTTCATGGCTAAAATAACTTGTCTTTTTGATTATAATTGTCATGCTTGCTTAGCTTTGTGTAAGCTAATGGTTTCTTGGATGTCCAGGTGGTTTAAGATACACGCATGCTAACTTGTAATAATTGTGATTGTTGCATTTACAGGAGGCACAGTTGCTAAAGTCTATGTGCCATACAAGGTCTGTGCATATGTAGGTATGAGCGCAAGCCTTGTTGCCCTCCTTTGGACCTGCTCCAGCACCTCCATGTCCTTTCTGTACTGAGGTGCCCAAAACTGAACACAGCACTCGAGGTGAGGCCTCACCAGTGCCGAGTACAGGGGCAGGATGACTTCCCTAGTCCTGCTCACCACACATTTCCTGATCCAAGCCAGGATGCCGCTGGCCTTCTTGGCCACCTGGATACACTGCGGGCTCATATTCAGCCGACTGTCCATCGGTGCACCAAGGTCCTTTTCCAGGCACTCTTCCCCACACCTGTAGGGTTGCCTGGGGTTGTTGTGACTAAAATGCAGGATCAGACGCTTGGCCCTACTGAAAGTCATACAGTTTACTTTGGACCATCAATCCAGTCTATCCAGGTCCCTCAGTAGTGCCTTTCTCCCTCTCAACTTGGTGTCATCTGCAAACTTACTGAGGGTGCTCTCAATCCCCTCATCAAGGTCATTAACAAAGATGTTAAATAGAAGCAGCCCAAGTACTGAGCCCTGGGGGACACCGCTTGTGTCTGGGAGAATTTCAGCTTTCCTTTCTCTACTAATTCATCTGTTATATTGAAACATTTCTGTATTTTTGTCTTCAATCTGTAACACCCAGTCCTAACAAGCTGTGTGGTTATTCTCTTTCACAGGAATTGGGTTATGTTAGCAAGGTATCTGATTATGTGGTATCTGTATCACTGGCTTGTTAGTGCTGGTTACTGCCAGAATATTTCTTCTGCTTCCTTAAGTGAACCTTGTTTGCAGATGTGCTAAAACTCTATAGCTGTATTCAGTCTGTTATGAATCCATTCTCTTCAAAACTGAACAAAGGATTTGTGGAGCTTTACAGTTAAAAAAAGCAAGCATGTCCCTGAAGCAGGTGTGTGCTTTTTTAGCTGAGTGCCCATTAACCTGGCCGTCAGGTTTAGCTGAGCACACCATCTATGGAGGCTGTATCTAAAATGCTCTTAATCTGTCTTTAAGTAAAGTATATCTAGAAATTGGCCTTCAGAGTTGGCAGACTTTAAGGAGTTGGAGTACTTATGCTGTCCTGGCATAACTAGGGAAGAACCATATTGTTACATGGAGAGGAAGAGAACGTTTAGATTCTGTGGCCTTTATCACTGTAACACATCTGGAGCAGTTTCTGTGCGCTTGTCAGTTTGCTGGGGAGCGCAGTGCAGATCTGCAGATAATAATTTCAGTGTTTGCACTCTACTGTATTGATTATGGTGCTCTGTATCTAAGCATCAGTACACTGCTGATTGCAGCACAATGTATTTTGAGTTACAGATATATGCAACTTCGTTTGTTTTTTTTTTGCCTTTCAAATCTAGAATATTGTAGTAGCAAGGGCTGTGAGCTGATGCTTGCATTTCCTGCATCCTCTTGGATGCATTACATGGATTTTTTCTTTAATTTTCAAAAAGAAATTTAGACTTGGCTAGATTGCAATAAATAACTGAACTGGCAATTTTTTTGGTTTTAGTGATTTGCATGTGTTTTTAGTAGATAATTAAGTTTGTACATGTAAATTATGTAAATCGAGACCTGCCTAACATCAATGCTGTAGATGTGAACTTGGATCTGGGTGCTAATCTTGCTGGTTGAAAGCCTTTGGAGCTCTGTGTAGTGTACAAGTGTAGTGCAGCAGCATCAAGCTTTGGGCTCTAAATTGGTGCTAATGAGCCAGTGCTGCCAAGAAATACAGGAATGCATAGAGATAAGCCATTCACCCAGCTCCTTTCTGGAATCATGTAATGGTTGCCTCAAACAAAGCAAATGAGCCACTAAGGTTACCAGCACCAGATAAGATGGAGGGTATTTGAAAATTGCTTTGTTTTGAAACAGTGCTGATGGAATACCAGGAGAAGTGTGTCCTTGGAGGATTCAAACTTGAAGTGTCTTCACTTTAAACAGGAGCATGGTCCCTGCCCTTTTGGGAGATATTTTTCTATTTCTCATAATGTTTACACTTCTACTTGCTTTATCTATTAGGGAAAATTGTTGTAATTTAATCTTTTAAAGTTGGGATTGATATAAGCAGTGTTAGAGAAGTCAGGAGAGCATAATTTTTGTAGCTGTGATGAGGGTGCAGCCAGCTGTTTGGAGAAGTGTGTATTCTGAGATGAGCTGTTAATGCAGTACTGAGATGTGAACAACAGAAGATGATTAATGTATGAGGTAGCTCCCATAAAATACAGCAATTTCCATGTTTAGAAATTCAGCTTTTTAAAAAAACCTAACACCTTGATCTCTTTAATAGCAAATAACCACAGCAGCTAAATATTAAGTTCTACTTTCTGCCACGTTTTTCTTACAGGTAGAGCACGTGAAATTACTGGATAGGTTCAGTACCAGCAATAAGTCTCTGACAGGAACTCTGTACCTTACAGCAACTCACCTGTTATTCATAGATGCAAACCAGAGAGAGACTTGGGTAAGGATAACAAGTGCCCTTGGCTCAGAGGTGTGGGCTTTTCGGGTGCGTTTGTTCTTCTTGAACATTGACTCTGTTTACTAAAACGTTTCTCTGAGTTTAATTATTCCCTGTGCTCTTCTTGTTCATGGTACCATAGTAACTTAATAACTTAGGTTGTACTCTTGCATGACGCTTTTGCAGTTGAAATAGATGATGTTGAAAAGTTTTCCATGTTTTGAAGTTGCTGTTGTTTCTTCTCTATAGCCTTCACTTGTATTCCTGACCAAATGTGTAGTGTGCTGTTTGTTTTTTTTAACATCTGACTTGCACTGAAGTTCACAGATGGTGTGGAAGATCGTTAGATAACTTGAGCTTTAGGTTTAAAGTTTCTGTATTACCTTTATCATATCAGATCCTGCCTGGGTTAAATGAGACAGCAAAATCCAATGAGTTAGGTTTGGTGATCCTGTGTGCTTTTTCAGAGGGTTGTTCATCTTTAGAATGAAAGAATTCTGAGGGA